TATTCACGGGGAGACACGACACGGGAGTCTGGGAAAACACGGGGATTTATTGTTTCGTTGTTTCACTTTGTAAATAAACACTGTTTATACATAGAGCACCGCGCCTGGGTCCTCCTTCCCCACTCCTTCCACGGTGTGCCATGCCATACCGTGACATGTAAAGACTCACTGTTGTACCTCACTGACCACCTCAATTTTTGAGCCAGAAATTTCAAATTCACTCCAGCTGTTGCATAATTTGCAGTAACTCATTTTTTCCCTCCCCATTTTCATTTCTTAAGAGTGGCTTCTTGACAGTCACCTTTCCATTGAAAGGTAATTTTTCTGATGAGGCTTCATCGAGAAGATCATCACTCAGGACTTCCAGTATCACTGGAACATTTTCTGTTAAGTTTTTTTTTTTTTTAACTCAAGGAATTTTTTAAATCCTGCTGCTACTTTTTTGTCTTCCACTTGTCCATTTTTCTCAAGAAAGGAAACACTGCACACCATGCCAAGATATGCCAGAATTTCAGCTAGTAGTTGTTGGTACAAAATACTATTTTATGCCTATTAAATAGTGTGTGTTTTTCTGACATTTTCTTACATTTAGATTCAACTAAAGAAATGCCCCAAAATATGTGTTTTGCAGGAGGCTGCTATCAACAAAGTGCCTAAAGATACAATTTAAAAGTGGTTCTTTGCCAAGTTATTTGTTGTTTTTAGACTCAACTCTGGTTCATATCTTGAATTAGGGAAGTGACAAGTGGTCAGGTACAACAACTGGACTGAAACTGAGTGAAAAATCAGTTAATCTCCAAAGAAAAACTTTTGGAAAGCCTGGAGAACTTTAAAAATATAAAGAAAGCCTGGCTCTCTTGAAGAAAAATATAAAGAAATGAGGATTGGCTCAAGTGTAGATAAGTATGGCAAGTTTGGTTTGTCCAAAAAATAATAATTTTAACGTATACCTGAGGATATGTGTAGGGAAGCTCATTTATAATTTAATGAGTGGAATATGTTAACTGCACAGCTGTGCTTCTTATCATCATTTGCTCCCCCAAAGGTGTTCGGGCCAAAAGAGTCCCCAAGGCTTCCAGAGCACCTTTTAAAGGTTCCAGGTGACACCAAGTGTAATTGACGAGGGGATGAAATGGGTATATAATCCTTTATTTTAGATTACAGGTTGTAGGTCAGGGGCCAAAATATTTATTTAATGTTTATTGCTTTTTTCTGTAGTGGTGAAAAGCGGTTATTATTAGTTATATAACCCCATACAGTGGTATGATTGGTGGGTCAATTACAAGCAGTCTATTCGTGAGTGGTAAGTGAGATCATTCATAACAAACAGGTCAGTGCTCTCAATAACTTTATCATCAGAATGGCCCTTTGACATTGTTGACTGAGTGAAAACGCTGTTGACAAATCATGAAGTATTACTTGTTGAAATTATAAAAATCCACAATAGGATATGCAATACCAAAAAACAGATTGAATCAGGAAAGGCATTTTAAAAAAGGAAGATTATGCAATGCTATAACAAGAATGAGCAAAGAGTCAGTGCAGATGTAAGGATTTAAATTATGAATACATTATCATCTTTTTTGGAAAATTTAGATTAAACATTATTGGCAGAATATTAATATTAAAATTTTAAAACTATTTCTGGATAGTAGCCACATAAAGAAGAGAGGCACACATATACTTATTGATTTAAGGGTGGAACAGCAGAGGCAAATTTTCTCTCTGGTTGCCTTGTATACAGTATACAAGAAATGTCTTCTGGGGCGCACTGAGATGCATCGTCAGTGATGTATCATGGGCTCGTTGGGTGTCTCAGGTCTTTCCCGCCACACCAGCTGTAAGACATCACTGTCATCAGTCCTTTGCTAACACAGAGAGACAAATAACAATGCCTATGGCCAATGTAAAACACCAAAATGTTGTTTTCAATATTTACAAATGATAAACAATGACATAATTTCCCATGGAGGCCCTCTCCCTCTCCCCTGAAGTTACCAATTCATTCACCTCCCTGTTGAGAATTAGCTATAGCTCACTTAAATGACTCCTTCCCCCGTGGCTGTCTGGAAGACTGACAGCGACTAAACGCAACAAGCCAGTTTTCTGAATAAAATATACCTGCACCTGCCTTTCAAAGACAAAGAGGTGTTTGTGAACAAGCATCTGGCCTTGGGCTTTATTCTCTCCTTAGTGTGTGTGTGTGTGGTGTGTGTGTCATTGGGCGTGCATCTGTTAGTGGCTGAGATGCCTCAAAAGGAATGTAATTAATTCATGAGAACACAACCATATCCTTAAATCCCATAGGAGTGTTAGTGAACCTATGGCCACTGAACTACATTTCTCATTAATTCTCCCTCAAAGTTCATTCAAAAAAATCTCTTTAAACATAATTCTTACTTTGTCTATTCGGTCAACAACTGAATAAATGTATGAATGTATAAATGCTGGACAAATATCTTTGAACATAATCTTTTCTGAAAGGTGTCTAGGAAAAAAATTCACCCACCATCATTTCTAAGGTTTTAGGCATCAGGATAAGTTACCAAGTGTTAAAATTAGGCAGATGAATAAGAATCTCAGATAAGCAAACTCGTATGAACCACAATATATAATATATTACATGGCGTTATTATTTATTTAACAGAAACCAAGACTAAGCCAAAATGAAGAAGTAGTGTGTGAAAGTACACCCTTATTGCTTCCACATGAATTAGGAGGGTAAGTGGCAGCCAGGTGCTAATAATAAGATACACTTCATTAACTGACTAGTGAGCAAGTGTGAGCACCTCTAAAAACAAAACAAAACCAAGGAGACATTTTGGCAGTTTGCTGGGCTGAAACATGGTGTGTCTCAGCATATTACCGAGGAGAAAAGACAGCGGTGATCTTAGAGAAGCAATTGTTGCTGTACATCAAAGGGTTAAAAGGCCATTTCCAAACTATTTCAAGTCCACTGGTCGGCAGTGAAAACAATTTTCACAAGGGCAAAACATTCAAAACAGCTCCCAGTCTTCCCAGGAGGGGATATCCCAGCACATTATCCCCAAGGTAAGATTGTGTAATGGTCAGAGAAACAGCAAAAAACCCAAGAACTATATAACAGACTCTACAGGCCTCAGCTACCATGTAACATTTTAAAGTTTATCACAATATAATTATAAAAAAACTGATTAAGTATATAGTTTATTTGATATCACACCTGTATTACTGAAAATAATGTATCACAATACAAAGAATAAAACTATAACTAAACTTCTAAGGTTCTTACAATGTAGAAAAAGTATACTGCATAATACAGCGTAATACACATGTATGCACTTAGAGATCCTTAAATAAAGTTTATCTTCATTATTCACCAAGTATCCATCGCAAACTACAATCAACTAGGTATTCAGTTCAGATCCTTATAATAAAATACCTTGTCTGTTGAGTAAAAAGAGTAAAAAACAAACAATCAAAACAACATTAAAAATGGGAATAGCAGGAAAGTGCAGGAAAAAGGAAAAGAGTGCTTTTTCTGTCAGTCTACTGCTCTACTCACATTCAGTCTGGTGCAGCAGGAAAGAGGAAAAAATACATATTGTTCTTATACAAAAGAGTCCTCTTCAGTTGTTTAAAATGTCATTTTCCTCCTGTCTTCTACAAAAGAAGAACAGCTATATTTGTTCCTGTGTGCGCTGAGCAGAATGAAGAGAAACACCCCAGTGAGGTCACTCATCCATAGTAGGACCTGGGAAGTTAAATGCAAATCCAACATCCGTCACCCTGGGGAAGCCTGAATGTGGAAAACCTTACTTCAATCCTTCCAATTACTTCCATCCTTCAAAAGTATATCTGGAAAAAGGGGTTGAAAATAAGTAATGAATGTTACATGGTGAAAGGCCATACAGTAAATCATTATCTACTAGGCAAGGATTGATGTTAATGCTGAGAATCTGACATGTATTTGTAAGACTTGGAGCAATCAGTCCTGCTAAATCTGCTCTA